CTAAGAGTTGGCGGTGAGTGGTGATGACTAGCTACCTTCCCTTTAGTCTTACACTGCTAAATTAGGGACGGCTAGCGCAGATAGCCCAAAACAAACAAACCATAACATAGTACATTTTACGTAATTGAGGATTTAAATTAGTGTTCTTTAGATACGCCCCCTGTGGTACAGCGGTAGGTCTGCGGACTTACAACGCTAAAAACTGGATTTCGATACCCCTGATGGTAAGAGCACAGATAGCCCATTGTGCAGCTTTGTGCTTAATTATAAACAAACAAACCCTTAGATGTATATATATTTGGTTTTTATTGGAATGAATTTATGCAAAATCAATAAAAAATTCACATGTCTCATATCGCATATATATATGAATTTGATACACATATATTTAAGCTAATTATCCTATTTGTTTCAAGTCTGCAGAAAACGCACTCTACCTCCTCGCCCAAGCATCAGCTTGTAAAGTCATATCGAAAATGAAAAGTTTTTACTAGTATGTGTCCAGACGTTAGAACTTTCTTCTCTATAACTATAATTTACTAGAAAAGGCGCCTTAATTTTAAAATTCGCCAGAGTTTTATTCACGTGACTGCCTAATAATGATCTTTTATTTTACAACAACTTTATACTTTAGCGCTTTGATTCATCGAACGTGTGCAGTTATAGTAACCGTGTTCCCATTCACACGTGTACTGCCTTATTAATGCCCGTGTTCCCATTCAGATGTGTACGACTACGTTGCTCATGTTGCCATTCGCACGTGAACGGTTGCACTACCCGTCTTCCCATTCAGATCTGTTTGTTCTGTAAATATTTTAGTTTTCTTTCTTACATTAGTTCGAACTCCAATATTTGTTTGAACTCCGATTGTTTGTTTCTGTGCTCCAAATTAAGTTTTCGCCTGAGCCAGTACACTTATCGAGTGCACAAGACAACAGCTTCTAGTTAGTTAACAGTGTATGATTATCGACATTAGGTACAATCAGACACAATGAATAATTATTCTAACCAAAAATCATAAAAAATAGCATATGAAAAAACTAACCACGTTAGTATAAAAATTCCGGCTTAGAACTACTCCACCGCTATTATGGTTCCCAGTTATATTCCTCTGCAGAAAAAAAAAAGGGGTTTGGGTTTCGAATATGTATTACGGTATTTTTAAATTCCGTGTTAAATATTGCTTCATAAAGCTGAGTAAATTGGACAATGATTACATTGTAATCTGTTTAGTTTGGTTCGAATTTCGCCAAAAGCTACAAGAGGGCTATCTCACTAGCTGTCCCTAATTCAGAATTGATAGATTAGACGGAAGGCAACTCTTGGGCTACCCTTTTACCAATAAACAGTGGGACTGACCGTAACATTATAACTCCCACACGGGTGAAAGGACGAGCATTTGAAACCACGACCTGCACATTGCTATTTGAGCGCCTTAACCACCAGGCTATGCCAGGTCCATAACACTGAAATAAGACAGTACAACTTATCACAGAGAAGAACAACATAACCGCCATTTATTTGATTGATGAACACCGTCCTGTTAGTTAGTTTGTTTGTAATTATGCTCAAAGCTACACAATGGGCTGTCTGTGCTCTGCCCACCACGGGTATCGAAACCAGGTTTCTAGCGTTGTACGTCCGCAGACATACCGCTGTGCCACTGGGGGGGACAACACCGTCTTCCATGTTAGCATGACATATGAAACTTGATACCCGTGGTGGGCACAGCACGGATAGCCCATTATGCAACTTTGTGCTTAACCACAGACAGACATATGAAACAGCCAGTGCTCATATTACTCATAATTTCACAAGGAAATTAAATTACAAGAAATTCAGTTTGGAAAAAATTTCGTAAACAAAATTCAGGAAAAGTGTTTCTCCTTCGTGCAATAAAAGTATTTCATTTCATTGAAATGTTTGCGTTTAAAGGAAAAATATCACTTTTGCATTCAACAACAAGGCCCGGCATGGCCAGGTGGTT